TGCAGCCACCCGGAGCCCAAGACTGGTCAGGAAGAGGAGAGGAAGAGCGGGCCGCCAGGTAGGTGACTAAAGGCCGAGAGCTTTCCCCACCCCACGCCCTCCTGCCACCTCACACCCCACCCCACCCTCTAGGCAGCTCTGCACTCAGCCTCGGGCACACAGCCCACCACAGTCAGGCAGCCTGCACCCCTGGCTCGTGTGTGGGCTCACTCTTTTGGGGCTATGCATGGAAACTCACATGTTACAGGACCCGCACAACTTGCCAGCACCTTTGTTCACTCTTTCAGCAAAGGTCTGTGGCCAAATACCTGCTGTATGTCAAGCCCTGGTTTCTACAGACAAATCCACATCCACAGCAGAGTCTTACAAACAACTCACATGAGGTTTACACACACCACAGTGTCCCCAGTCCCGTGCAGAGCACTCACCGGTACCATGTCTTACACACATGTACACGCTGGCCTCCACGCACACTCATGCGCCTGCCCACAGAGCCCTGGGCATACCACGTGCTCCACCCTCACCAGATGTGACTTCCTCTTGCTGAACCGCATGCAACGCTAATAACAGCTGAGATTTAACTGGTGCTTTCTGTCGTCCTGGCCTATGTGGTTACATGCATGACCTTATTTGATCTTCACAGTAACTCTCCCGAGTAGGTTTTTAGTCTTCCTGATGAGCGAAGCAAGGCTAAGGGAAGTGAACTAACTGGCTTGTTTAAGAAACTCACTGGTAAGCTGGGCGTGGTGGCGCATGTCTGTCATCCCAGCACTCGGGAGGCTGAGGCAGGAGGATCACCGTGAGTTCGTCAAGACCAGCCTGGGCTACGTAGTGAGTTCCAGATCAGTCTCAGCTACATAGTGAGACTGAGTCTCAAAAAACCAAAAAAAAAAATAATAATAAAAAAACCACCCGAAAACTCACCGGCTGACTCCACAGCCTGTATTCTGAACCGCTGTGATGCAGGCCACACTCTCACACTCACAAGCAAACCCTCTCCCTCCCACCGACACTCAAACGCACACCAACACATGGACATGCACACCCACACGTTCAAACACACTCCACACACACATCCGCACACCAACACCGATGCCCCCCACCCGTGCTTTCATCTACGTGTGAATACGCACCCTCAGACTCCTGCACCCCAGCAGCCTCAGAAGACCAAGGCCCCCCTCCCAACAGCCGGATCAAAGGCTTTCATTAACTCCAACACCTGTTATTAACCCTTCCTCTCCCCCTGCAGGGGAAATGTCTGGACCCGTTTCTCAAGGGCAGGCGCCAAGGCCAGGGTGTCCGCATCTAGCAGGGAGGGCCTGGGTGCCTGAGGAGCCCAGCGTGGCTGCTGGGTGCACAGGTCCAGGGCAGTCAGAGGAGGAAAGGATGGGGTCAGGGTGGGCCGGAGGAGGCCCCGGAAACCAGGCTGGCTACGGTGCTCCTTCCGCACTGGCCACATGGTGATTGGGCAACAGACAGCAGTGGGTGTCTGGGCCCGTGGCTGACAGGACATTTCCCGTTTGTTTCACTAACACCAGCCGCTTCTGTCACAAGGAGCGATGACTTCACTTCTGAGGAACCTTGGGGGAGAGGCTCCTGGAGGGACCGTGGGAGGCAGGTGCCCTCCAGTGTCTCCTGCCATGCCAGGGTCGGGGTACAGATGCTCCCCCTTCCCCAGTATGGAGCAGTGGCCAAAGCGCTCGGATTCAAATCCTTCCTGAACAGCCTTTGGGCATGTGGTATAACCTCTTGGAGCCTCAGCTCCCTCTTCTGTGAAGTGGAGATGACACCTGCCTCCCAGAGGAGAATTAAATGAGGTAACGCAGGCTTCATTCCTGCCTAGAGACGGCCGCTTTTAGATCACAGTTGGCTTAGAGACTTTTGAATGGAGACCTTTTCCTCGACCTTCAACGGTTTGGTGGGCTTGGTGCACCCTTCGGGGGTCCCAGGAAGGGGAGGGCATCCTGTTTATTTCAAGGCTCCTCTTCCCAGTCTGCTGCTAAGGGGGCAACTGGTTCTTGGGCCTCTGACCCATTTCTGCCAGGCTTGAGGCCAACGTTGAGTACCGTCTCCCCGGGCAGAGGGCTCAGTGAGCAGCTGGGCTGCATTTGGACCGAGGATTCCTGGACATGGGCGGATGGGGTCGCTCGCTGGAGCTTCAAGGCGCGCAAACTCGGGGAGGGCCTGGGGGTCGCGGATGGATCCAGAGGATCCCTTGGTCCTGGCCAAATCCCCCCGGATTTCCCCCGCCTCCTCCCCGCGCCGGTCTCCTTTAAAGACATTCCTGAGGGCGTGGCCTCGGTGACGTCAGCGCGGGGCATGAATGAACAGGAGCGGGTTCTCACCCAACTTCCATTAAGCTCTCGGGTCGGGAGGGACAGAAGTTGCGCGCGGGCGTGCGGGCG